GTTGTGCCTGAGAAGTCACAGAGTAAGGTTGAGAAGATTTGCTTCCTTCTTTTCCTCTGAACTTTGTTGTTTAGCTGTTACATTTCAGTCTTGACCTATTGAGTTGGTATGGTAGATGGTGTGTGATGAGGGATCAATGTCATTTCTTGACGGTGGGTATCATACCATTGCCCAGTACGAGTCATTGAAAAGGTTATCCCCTCCTTCATTTATGTGTTGGAACCCTTGTCAAATCATCAAAAACTTCGGTTGCCCCTTCCAGCTAAGTCTGAGTTCTCTGTCAGCCAGGCCAGGCGAGGTGTGATAGCAACAAGTGATTCCCAGATCACACAGACTGCAACAGATAATTCTCTCACTCAAGGTCAGGGGAGATCATAGTCAGCTGTGACCCTGCTCAACGTGGTCATTATACCAGGCCCCAGTTGCTAGAGCAGCATTGATCTAGACTCTCCCCAGTCTGTGGCTGAGGGAAAATGAGTAAGCTTGAGGCTGCATTAAGGTCTCTTTCCAGGAGTGACACGCACCATTCCACTCTCACTTTATTGGTCAACGTAAGTCATGATGCCAACCCTTGTTGGCAGCCAGGGAGGAAAACTGTTCCTCTCTCAGGGATGCAGCCATTGCAAGAGGCAACAGGCTATTCAGGGAAAGCACCGGCACAAACCCATCTTCACCACACAGGTATCTTGTGACCCCCAGGCACCACTCTGAGGACTTTGCCTGCTCCCTTCCCGTCTGATGGGTGCAATCTTGGCTATCTGCTCTGCTTTCTGCAGCCTTCCTGGATAGATCCCGTCCACTGTCACGGTGTCGGTAACAGCCATCTATTAAATGCTGAATTTCACACTGACATCTCTAGCTCCGGACATGGGTACATATCGATCTACTGAACACGGTCCACAGACATCCCAGGTGACCCTCAGACATGAACTTATTACGGTCCTCACGCACCCCTGAATCTATTCTTCTGGGTCTCCAGCTGCAGACATATGAGCATGACTGCCCTCCTTGCCCCCACCCAGCCAGCTGGTGCCCACCCGCCTTCTTCCCAGTCAGCCATTGTGTGTACCGAGTCTACTTCTGAAACACCACCTCCGCCAGCCCCTTGCCACCCCTTCTCAAGGATTCTGCCATTGACTAGTCTCTGCCCTTCAATCCATTCTCTATGTTGTATCCATATTAATTTTCACAAAGTGCAAACCCTGCCTTGTTCCTAACACAAACTTCCCCGCTGGCCATGACAGCTCTGGGGATCAGGACTGACCTAACAGGCCCCGGGAGGCCTTTCCTGACTGGGCCTCTCACAGCCGCACTGCTGAACAGAATCTGCCTGCTACTTTATTCACCTTTGGCCACTCGTTCCCTAAATCCCCCACTCTCCACACTCAGAGCTTCTAAATAGCCACACCCTGTGCCTGGGACACTTTGCTCTCCTCTGGGCAGCTTCTCCCAGGCATCACTTGCTTCTCCCTTCTGACTAAAACAGTAAGTAATTAAAAGTGCTTCAACCAAGAGGGTGAGAGAGAAAGGGCCTTGGAACTGGATGGCCCGGTTTTGAATCCTGGCTTCCATGCATCGCCTGCAACACTGTACACAAGATCTTACATCTCTGAGCCTCGGTTGCCTCATGCAGAAAACAGAGATAAAAAGAGTCTTATTACATAAGGCTGCGGTCAGGATTAAACGGGTAAGTATGTAGAAGGTCCTTAGGACAGTACCTGACATACTGTAATGGCTCACCAGTGTTTGCCATTGCTTTGATGAAACTCCATGGCACACTATAATTACCCCTACAATTAAGCACTTATAGAGAAACAGATCCATAATTTACCCACGTGACCACTTTCTGCATTCTAAGATCATTAGAGTTGAGACAATGCTCCAGGCCTCGGGATCCTAGCACATCTAAAAATTGTTCATTTTTTTCTTTCTTTCTTTTTTCTTCTTCTTCTTCTTCTTTTTTTTTTTTTTTTTTGGCTTTTTTGAGACAGGGTTTCTCTGTGTAGCTTTAGACCCTGTCCTGGAACTCACTCTGTAGCCCAGGCTGACCTTGAACTCACAGAGATCTGCCTGCCTCTGAATGCTGGGATTAAAGGCTTGTGCCACCACCACCTATCTTCTTTTCTTTTAAGACAGGATCTCCCTATGTATCTTTAGCTGGCCTGGAACTCAATATGCAGATCAGATTAGCCTTGAACTCACAGAGATCTGGTTCCTCTGAAGCGCTGAGATTAAAGGCCTGTGCCTTTAACACGTGATTGAATTTGTTAAATTTTTGTTACTTATTGGACTAAATGAATGAATGACCCTCATGACTCATGTTGTCTTGTGAGGGGAGAAACTTGTTCTCTCTATTTATTTAGACAGAATCTCCACAACAACCACCGTGGCACACCTCCCTTCCCAACCCAAGGCTGATTAGTGGCTTTTTATTATTGGCAGACCCTTAGCTGAAACCAGGTGGAACACACTCTCCCGTGAACAGACTTTAGACTCTTCTACATTCCACATTCTGCCAAATACTTCTAACACGACCTGCTGTACGCTCACTTAGTCACCCAGGGATTGGTTAAGGACAATGAATGCAAGCCAAAGGGAGGGATTACATTTATGGGTGTCCTGTACTGTTTAAAAATACTTAGCCCAGAACCGGGCGGTGGTGGCGCACGCCTTTAATCCCTCGGGAGGCAGAGCCAGGCTCATCTCTGTGAGTTCAAGGCCAGCCTGGGCTACCAAGTGAGCTCCAGGAAAGGCACAAAGCTACGCAGAGAAACCCTGTCTGGAAAAACCAAAAAAAAAAAAAAAAACTTAGCCCAGAGACTGTGTTCTTTCAGACTCGTAGATGTGGAGGCCCTGGACTATAAAACCACCTCCCTGTGTTCTGAGGGAGTAAAAGAGACAGTGGAAATGAAAGGGGAATTTAAAAGAAGACACTTGGGTTTGGTACAGGCTGTCAACAAATAGCTGTGACCCTGGAAGTCACATCTGGTGACTGGCCTGCCTTACCTGCAAAGGGAGAGCATTTCGCTGGTTTTGAAGTCTATTAATTCTGTCAGGTCATACATACACCATCTCTCCAAGGTGACTTGGTCTAGGCAGGCTTTTTTTTTTTTTTTGTGAAGGACGCAATGCTGGGGATGCACCCAAGGCAAAGGCATCTTCACACAGCTCAGTGCTGGGCCACTGAATTCCATCCTGGGCAGCCTTGGGAGGGAATTTTCTACAGCCTGATTTGATATCAGCAGAAAACAGAAAATGGGAGGAAGCACAAGCGTCTTTATATTGTAGCCACCAGTGGGGGGCAAGGCACTTCATCTGGGTGAACCCAGAGAGAAGGGACCCCACCTTGAAGGTGAGTTCCGAAGGCCCCATGTGCTGGGGATGAAGAGTTTGGAGGCACAGACTGAATTCAGAGCCTGTTATGAGACTGCCCCTGTTCCTTGATCTTTACACTCCTGTTTCCCTGATGGCCAAGGAAAGAAAAGGAAGGTCCTAGCTTTGTTGTAGGGTTGAGGGCAGTTACACATCGTGTTAGCAGCCTACCAGTAGTGCTAGGTCATCTTCCCTACGTAAGTTATATGCTGTATAACTGCGCATGCCTGAATGTATTTATGTGTACAATGTGCACGCAGCGCCTGTAGAAGTCAGTGGAGCCACTGGAGCTGGAGTTACAGGTGGTTGCTTGTCATCTTATGTGAATGTTGGGAACTGAACCCAGGTCCTCTGCAAGAGCCACAAGTGCTCTTAACTGCTGAGCCATCTCTGCAACCCCTACCTGTGTGTGTGTGTGTGTGTGTGTGTGTGTGTGTGTGTGTGTATGTATGTATACATGTGCATGTTTATGTATGCATGCATGTAGGGAGGTCAGTAATGCCAGGTGTCTTCCTCAATTGCTATTTTATACTTCTCTCTCTCTGATGGGCTAGAGAGATGGCTCAGTGGTTAAGAGTATGTATTACTTTTCCAGGGAACCTGCGTTCAATTCACATAAGCACCATGTGAGGTGTCTCACAAATGCATGAGGATCTAACATCACTGGCCTCCTTAGGAATGCATGCACACACGCACACACGCATGCACACACGCACGCACAGATCCATGCTTAAAAATAAATCTTAAAATATTTTTTTTCCTGTGTGTGTGTGCCTGCTTGTTTGCAGGTATGTATACAGTGCCTGCAGAGGTCAGAAGAGGGTGTTGGATCCCCTGACCTGGAGTTACAGATAGTTGTGAGCTGCCACGTGGATGCTGGAAACCAAACACAGGTCCTAGAAAGAACAAGCAGCCAGTGCTCTTAACCACTGGTCATCTCTCCATCCCCAGGATTAACAGGGAAAAGCTCAGTCTTTGGGATGTAGACTACTTGCAGTGGCAGTTGTGAGTTCTGAAGCAGAGTTTTAGAAAATTCTACCAGAAATGGGACAACAGCCTCCTTGCCAGGCATCACTTTAGTGGACTGTTTTTAGGGAAGGGAGTAAAAAAGGATCCATAAATCCAAGAGGCGGTACCTAGTGAAATAGCACCAAGAGTTACTGTTCAGAGCCCTTTTGCTTGCTCGGCCAAGGTAGGCGGCAGCTAAGGTACTGGCTGAAACCACACCATTCAAAGGAGTTGGCTTTGAACCCGGTCTCTGTCACTTAACTAAGTGGCTCTGAGTGTGAATTACTTAACAGCGGAGTCTTAGTTCCTCAACTGTCAAGTCAGAATAAAACAGCACACGCCTTACAGGGTTGCCGGTCGGTTACATCAGGCTCACGGCTCAAGAGTAGATCTCTTTTCTTGTGCGGTGGCGGGGGTGGGGGGTTGGTTTTTTCTGGGTAGTTCTGGCTGTTCTCCAAACTCACTCTGCAGACCAGGCTGGCCTCAAACTCACAGAGATCCGCCTGCCTCTGCCTCCCGAGTGCTGGGATTAAAGGCGTGCGCCGTCGTCGTCGTCGTCGTCGTCGTCGTCGTCGTCGTCGTCGTCGCCGTCGCCGCCGCCGCCGCCGCCGCCGCCGCCGCCGCCGCCGCCACCACCACCACCTCGGGGCTTCAATAGGAGATCCTGATGGCGCGTTAAGCGACAGGACGACAAAGGCCAGCAGGGGCGCTGCTGCAGGATGAAGGAATGTGCTCTTGATACCAGTTTCCACCCTCACGCCTGCACTTCCTTACAGTGAGTCTCTAGAATAAGCAGTGCACATCTAGGGTTGTAATTTTAAGAGGATCACCACTGTCCAGAGCAGAATGGGATAGCTTTAAGAGCTAGCTACGTCTGTCCTTCCCAGCCAGCTTGAGCCCGTTTTCCTCGCTGTTGTCTCTTGTTTACAGTTGTTGGCTGTAGATGTCTCCGTGGGGGATGAAGGGCAGAGCAGATGCTAAGTCACCCCAGAAGGGGACCAGGCCAGGTGCCATCTGCTCCATTCTGTTCTGCTGGGGATCAGAGCCCGCAAACTGTTCTTCAGGCCATCTCAGTAGCCAGCTTTCCATTAGGTATTTATTTAGGTACTGGGGACACTGCGGGAGACGAGGTAGGAGGAAGAGAGGTGACTGGCCTGACTGGTATCACAGCAGCAGCAATCATGGTGGCTGCCAAGTGGCATCTGGCAGTGGCAGGACACTGTCTCCTTTGTCTAACCTGGCATACAGGTCTCAAGCAAACTTACTGTGAACAGCATTCATTTGCCTATTCACCCTTAGACCGGGGAGCTCACGGCCCAGGTAGGCAGAGGCCACGCTGAGCTATCACAAAGCTGTACCCACTCACTTACCTGCCAGGTCAAAAACAGTGGCCTCTCTCTAAATGGTGGCCTCTACAGCCTGGTTCTAAGAGCAGGTATTTAGGGGCTGGAGAGACGGCTCAGCGGTTAAGAGCACTGACTGCTCTTCCAGAGGACCTGGGTTCAATTCCCAGCACCCACATGACAGCTCACAACTGTCCAGAACTCCTGTTCCAGGGGATCTGACACCCTCACACAGCCATACACGCAGGCAAAACACCAATGCACATAAAATACAAAAAAAAAAAAAAAAAAAAAAAAAAAAAAAAAAAGAGTAGATATCTAGAGAGCCAAGCGGAAGCTGTCTTTAGGAGCTGGCCTCTGGAATCACATTAAGATCTTGCTCGCTGCATTCTATCTGTTAGAAGTCACTAAAGCCAGCTCAGAGTCAAGGAAGAACAGATTCCGCCCACTGGTGGGAGGAGGGCCAACATTTATGCACACTCTGAGACTGCCACAGGCAGTTCCTTCAGCAACTCAGCAGCAGGCATGGGCCCGTCAGTTCCAGCCCAGGGGTGCCAGCACCCTCCTTGCCTTCTGAATGTCACCCCTCTCCTCCTCTCAAGAACCCTCTTTTGTTTACTGGCCCCTCCAATGTTTGGGAACTAGTATTAAACTCCTTCTATCCGATACACCTTGGGAGTTTTTCTTTTCTTGACAAGACTCTTGACAGACACATCTGGATTTATCTGTGGTTATGCTATGCAAACGCACCATCTGAACACACTAGCAGGTGCTTGAAGAAATACTGTGTGCTACGAAGCACTAGGTGCTTTATGGATGCCATCTCATTTAATTCCGACACCAACCTGGACATACTGGTTTGAGGTTGACAGTATTATGGATGCAAAAAACCGAGGCTCCTCAGGCTGAACAGCCGGGATACAGCTGTGAAGAGGCAGAGCTCGACCTACCTCAGGTCTCTGGGTTGAGAAAGGACTTCCTGCCTAGAAGTTTTCCTCATACAACACCTCATTTCTCATTCTTATATACATGCTTGATGAGTTCCAATTTAGATATAAATCTGCTGCTAGGAATGCACAGAGGGCAGGCAAGAGTCCAGGGCAGGAGGAAGGGAAGGCTCACATGTCCATGACCTGTAAAACCTGCAGGCTGTATGTATGGGAAAAGGCAGGGACCGAAGACCAGGGGCCGGGGCTGCTGGCCCAGCTGTTACTTAGCTGTGTTATGACCTTAGGCTGTATCTTCCTCTCAGGAGACCTCAGGTTCCACATCTGGAAAATGAACCTGATGTTCGGAGCTCTACTGAGTGCACAGACGTTACTGTGGGACAGAAAAGACTTGACCGGATATGGGACAGAAGGCGCAGCAGAACTCTGGCAGAGGATGCTGACTGGCCTGGGGGGAGGTTCCTGCTGTGTCTTATAAACAGCAGGGATCATTTTAGCTTCCTATGGAAAAAAACCTCTGATGCCATGATACAGAAAGACAGCGGCAGTAACCACCACGGAAAGAATAAACAGGTGGGCTTACAGAGCAAAACGGGCACCAGAGAGCACCCGGAGGAGCTGTGAAACGCCATCCCCATTTCACAGAGGGAAACACTGTTCACACAGAC